TATATATATATGGTTGAGGATGACTTTTAGCTCCTATCACAACAAACTTTAGCTTAATATCTAAAAAAACTGACTGAGCTATAACCATTTTTGTTTAATAAATTCACTGAGCTGTGGTGGCCATCTTGCCATCTTAAACCAGCTCAAAAGGTAATCAGAAATGACTGACTGTTTAATGATTACCTTCTAAGATTTTATTATGATTATATCTATCCAGTAGTTCACAATGTATTTTGCTAACAGGAAGACAAATGAGYCCACATTTAAATTACACACAGACAGAGACAATACAATGTTACCTGCTGACGTATATTATTGATTTACTGTGCTCATCCATTGATTTCATTGCATTTTTTTWAAAGAAAAGCATCAAACAAAATAATCATGAACACTTTTTCCCCTTTATTTGAAGAATAAATTAAATTAAATTAAATTAAAATACCTTAAGTGTTCAAAGGCAACATGAAGTAGATAAATGCAATGAAAGTGATACAGCTGATATGATGATGATGATGACGATGATGATGATGATGATGACGATGATGATGATGATGATGAGAGAACAAAGATGATCCAAGTGTCAACAAAGACAGCTTTGATGATGCTGAACATCCATAGACGGTCTTAACTGGGAAAAAAAAAAAAACGTATAAGACAGTGAAACATAACTTTTAAAAACGACCCACTTCTCTAAAATACCCCTCACCTCCCAACCAGCAGGAACTCCCCCACCAGGCGCTGTCGTCTCATCGCCTTCAGGATGCCTCGGACGGTCATGCCCTCGCAGAAACAGGCCACCACTCTGGCTTTGGGCAGGTGGCCCCTGAGTTTCTGTAAGAGTTTGTCGAAGCTCTGCTCGCCTGCGTTGCTGTATATTTTATCAGAGTGAGCGATGCAGATTCCCTCTTTTGCCGCCATGTCTTTGAACGCCTCCATYCCGCTCTCACCGTAGTTACCTGCGGACAGAAACACAACATCAGCTGTTGGTTTGCATCATTAGACGGGACACATTCATTAGCAGAACCATCAAAACAAAATGTACTGCATATTAATTTTCAGAAATAGAAAATTGCTTTCTTTTCCATCTTTTTAAATGACATTAATAKTTTGTGCAGCAGTGTTCTTCATGTGACCTGTTATGCGTGGAAGGTGTGAACAAAGCACCACACTATAATGTAATGCCAGCAAACTGCTTTGAAACTGATCATTTTGGCCCCATCATTGGATCTGTTGGGATGTAAACTTCCCAGTTATTCCTTAAAATGAGGTCACCTAGTTTCTCTTGCTGTGCAAGTAAACTCCCCAAAATGCTATTATTCACTAGGTCAGAATTTTCCTTGTTGATTTCATGCAACTGCACCACAGTTCTGCACACGCCCACAGCTAACATGTAGTTGGTTGCAGTAATTGTGTAAATGAACAATATTCGCAGTAWATTTCTAACAATTACTAATTATCTAAATTCCAGATTTTTTTTCTTTTCTTTATCCAGTGTATTACAACAYGAGTTAATCACTTTTGACCCAGTACCACTGTCATGTGGAAAGCAAGAAATCTCATTAGGACTAATTAGTGTATCATAATTGTAAGTTTTAAATTTTTGTATTTTCCACCTAATTCAAAATTTTCTCARCAGTTTGCTCAGTTTAGTAATATGATTTTAAAAAAATCCAAGAACGGTTTGTTTTACAAATAGTGACCTTTGCATTATAAAAATAAATAAACTAGTTGTAATAAGAAGCTAAAAAAAATCAATTAACAAAATAAAACATTTTATTTTTTTGCAAAAATTAAAAGTGACTTTTTTATCCAATATTTGCTCCAATGGAGGTGATTCGTGCACAAACTGATTCTTTAGTGTTTATTCAGATCAAATAAAAAACTACTGAAACTGCAAAGATGTATTTTACACATTTTACACAAAGAAAACAACATTTCACTTTTGCATATTTCTACTACAGATGCAGTATAAAACGTGAGGCTGGGACAGACAGAGATGAAAGTTAACACACACACACACACGCACACACACACACCCATGTTTGTTTCTCGACCCCATGGGGACCTTCCATTGACTTCCATTCATGTTTTTTAGACTTTATATCCTAACCCTGACCATATACTCTAAAATTAACCTCACAGAAACTTACCTGACCCTAAAACTAACTTAAACCTTGGTCCTAAACCTAACCCCACACCTGTAACATGCATTTGGACCCGTGGGGACCTGACATTGGTCCTAAACCTAACCCCACACCTGTAACATGCATTTGGACCCGTGGGGACCAATGTCAGGTCCCCACGATTCACTTCAGTCCCCACCAGGCTGCTTTTTTTTGTAAAAAATACCCCACGTTGTAGGAAAAACCCATACACAAACACACACACACGCACGCACACACACGCACGCACACACACACACGCACATACACACACACACACACACACACAGTCTTACCCTCAGTGTGTATTGCAGACACATAGCTCCAGTTGTACCTCTTCACAATGTCCACCATGGCTCTAGCCTGCTGCATATCTGATGGCACCACCCTCATGAAGTACTTATAGAGGCTCTGTYAGAAGAGATTTCTGTTTATAACTCGGGTTTGTTAACTAGTTTGGATGACCAAACCATTCTTCATATTTTATTAATTTTCAACGAGGTAATTTGGCATTTCTTGTTGTTTACCTTGTCACTGAGATCCATGCTGGTGGCTGAGTAAGCTATCTGTGGGATGTTGAAGAGCTGCAAGAGGTTTTGAACCTGGATGGCCACAGAGCTGGATCCTGGTCCAATCAGTCCCACGATAGGCTTCTTTCCCTGAACAAGCAAACTCCCTGCCTCTGCAGCACATCTGGCCTGGCTCTCCTCYTCGTCGCTGGACACCAGCGTGTCCCGAATAAACTCGATGCTCTGCTCCAGGGCCACCGCCGAGTGCCAGCAGGAGTCCCTGGAGAGGAAGGACTGGGCTCARCGTCACAGTGTTTTGGAACAAAATGATGGCCGTAGGCATGTATTAAAGTATTACTAATGTCACTTTTAATTAGGATGAATCACCTGTTAGAAACAATAAGCTGTTTAGTAAGCATGAAACTTTTCTAAGACTGATATTTCATTGCAATAAAAAATATGAAAAACCTGTGAATCATTACTTATTAATAAACTACCATTTTTAATTTGTTATTCAGTGTTAGATAAGCTTTCTTGACGATCACTTGATCTTAATAATCCAAGTAGAAACATCTAAAAAAACGTTGACTAGGTCCTCYGGACAAGTTCTTCTTTATTGAAAAGTTTAGTCTCCTATCCAATAAACTTCTTCAGGCTGAGGAGTTGTAGGTAAGCTCAGCATTATAAGCAGTAGTGGATAAACAAGTGCAATGATGACAATCAAAACTGGTTGTTCACATTCAAAAGATGACCATCAGCCTAACCTAACAACTGATCATTAGGGCCCTGATTATACCTATCATTATCAGAGGGTGAGAGGTAGAGAATTGGACACAGAGGCATCTCACCTTGTTTAACTATGGGCAGTGTTTCTTCACAAAAATACTTTCCTTTACTCTCCCTAACAGTCTTTAGGCTGATGGTCCTCTTTTGCATATGTTTCGCTTGTCATTGTTAAACTTGCCGGTCCACTCTGTGAAGGTGCTGCTCAAAAGGCTGAGGCTGATTGAAGAAAAGAGAGGAAACGTTTCAACAAAGAAGAACCCATCCCTACTCAACCGTGGTCCTTCCTCTTATCTGTTACAGTTTAGAGTTGACAGACGATCCAGTCACATCAGTAAAAATGTTACTAATGAGATCAACTTTGCGATTAATTACTGACCTTATCTCACAGCCCAGGCTAATGTTAGGAAGAATACTTGGGTCAGCATTTATCCTATCCAGAGTGTGCATCATGGCCTCCACCCTCTGGATTCCATACTGCTCACGCACGGCTCCACACTTCCTCTCATGCACCTGAGCGAAAAGTGGGATTAATGACAGTTAACACAAAGCAAATAGAGATTCACAATGTCATGACTCCAACAACAGGTACTTTATCTGCAGGTGGCTGGTGGTGGACAGAGAACAGGGCCCCTATGATGATGTCTCCTGGAAGGTGAGCCAGGCGTCGCCTCTCGTTGTTCTGTGCACTGACCCCTGCCCGGCCTTTTAAGCTCACATCAGTTCCAAGTAACAAAACAACCACAAACAGTCCCACATGCAATCCTTTCCCTCTGCACGGAACCTTTCTCATTCCTCCTGCCATCCTCTGTCCAATCGGAGCTGAGCTTTACATTAACGTATTTAACCTGTGCATGATGGATGTTGCGCCAAGGGCAAGGTTAGACTCCTGAAGACAAAAAATAAAATAAAAAAACTCAGCATGGAAACAGAAAAGTGAGAGCACATATTCTCAACTACCAACTGAAAAACATGGCACATGGTCCAAACAGATTTAAAACAGCATATCTTTCAAATTCACCTAAAAGACACTTTCTGCCTACCTTTCGGTTGCCCTGCCAGCTGCCATGCAGATGTGCGTCCTGATGAGCTGCTTGCCATCCCAGAGGAGCAGCCGCAGCAGCTCCGTGCTCAGGCTCAGTCTGGTGCCTGGCTACAGCAAACTGCAAATAGCAGCAGATAATACAGAGCGTTATTGGAACATGTTTGACTTACTGACGCACAAGACAGCACCCCCCCCCCCCCCACTCCCTGCTTCTTCTCTTCTCTTCTCTCCCCCTCCGCCTCCGCTCTTCTCCCTTTCCCTCCTCCTCATCTTCCACCAAAACAGTGTTGAGCAAGGCGCTTCAACGGAGAACGCTCAGATGCTTAGCTAGAAAGGAAAAGAAGCAAAACAAAAAGGATCGTGCTTTCTTTTAGTATCTTAAGTTTGTTTTCATACTTTGCTAAGAAAATACTGAAAACTATTATTTAACTTTTAGTAGCTCCAACTTGGAGGTTTTTCCAGACTGAAACTTTTAGGAAAGGTTAAATGGCATTTGCAGATTTCTAACCTTAAAGGAATGGTTTAAAATTGTAGCCTTGATGTAACATTCCTGTAAGGTTATTTTAATGCAATTTTTGTAAATTTTTAAAAACATTAAGTAAGTTCTTTATAGGTGCTAATCAAACCCACAAATGCGTTTTCCTAACAAACACAGAGTGTAAGGGGAAATCAACAGGCTTTCCAAAAGTTTAAGGTCTATTGCCAAGAACAAACAATCAACCAATTAGAAATTTCCCCCAATTTTTGTTGGCATAATTTGAACCCRATAGCTCACACTTTTTTTTAATTTAAAGGTTTATAGATAAGTGAACAGACTTTGTCTTGTTCTGTTGATTCGAAACACTGAATTCGAACCGGAGGAGTGGCTGCTCCTCCACATGGAGAGGAGCCAGTTGAGGTGGTTCGGGCATCTGGTTTCGGATGCTTCCCTAGGGAGGTGCTTCAGGCATGTCCAACTGGGTGGAGACCCCGAGGAAGACCCAGGACACGCTGGAGAGACTTGGAAAGCCTTGGAGTCCTCCCAGAARAACTGGAAGTGGTGGCTGGGGAAAGAGAGGTCCTGGCTTCCCTGCTCAAGCTGCTGCCCCCGCGGAAGATGATGGATGTATGGATGGATTCAAACACTAGATGACTTAGTAAAGGCCACATAGACAAATCAATGGTTTGGATCAGCTGCAGGGTGTCATCATGCTATAACACACAGAACCTGCTCCTAACCAGAGAGGACGTCTTTAAGTATTTTCAACCAATCAGTGGCAGCCAAATTTAATCTGTTAATAACCCATTTACATTTTTGCACTTTTATTGTAAATTTGTTCACACTCCACTGTCTTAGTGAATCCAAGTTTTTTTTTTGGTGTATTTGTTTATGTACAACTACACACAAAAGAAAATCAATCATTCAAAAACAATGTTAAGTCACACAGAACATCTAATTCTGTGATAAATATGCCACGTTTTTGAAACTAGGTTGAAAAATGTAGGATGGTGTGTAATACTGTCTCTGTGTGTGAAAATCTYAAATGAGTGAGTGCAAAATTTGATTTCTTAGTTACCAGGGGAGACCAAAAAATGCACATTTAAAAAATAAATAAATAAAAATAAAGAATGAATGAATGGTTTGCATAGCTGTGGCCCCCTCTGGTGTCATAATATTTCCTTTCAAAGGCAAAGTTTTGAGAGAATACAACCATTCATTACACCTATAATCAAAATAAAAACATAAAAGTCTGTTTGCACAAAGATTTACTGGGGGCAAAAGTTAATGTGAAACAGAAGCAGTAAGAATGAAGACATTCTGTGCCCAAAGCAACAGCGTGCTCCTCAGCTGCTTTACAGTAAATACTTTGTTCGGCTGAAGTCACATGACTCAAAGTATGTTCTATACAAAAAAAATTAAAAAATTAAAAAATAAAATAAAGTAAATCACATGTAAGGCTGATTATAGGGATGTTTTCTAACACTTTGTTCTCTTCCAGATCAAATGATTTTGGGTTTTGTTTTACATTCAACTCCTAAAACAGAATAGGAGATCTTCATTTTTAGACATAAATATATCAGTGGATTGAAAACAATGCATGAGCAACAACGATTTGCTTACAAGAATGATCACACAGTAATTACGTCATATACAATTGAGTTACTAATAAAGCAAAAAAAATAAAATAAAAATAAAATAAAAACTGGGGCTTTTGTGTCCTTCTCAGTCTGTAGCCCCACCACTGTCACAGTGAATTTCATACCATAATGGCAGGAAAAACAGTTGATTTTTGACTGCTTGCATGCCTCTGTGTGTACACAAAGACTTAACCTGTTCGTATTAATTTGGTTTTCACAAATAAGAAGGATTAGACAATGTGGTTCAAACTTTAAGCTGCTAAAACGTCCAATCAGGTACGATGAAACAAACAGAGCATTTGTCACAAGATTTCGTGTCAAAGTCATGTTTCTTGTCTGCAAGTCTCAGATGTTTGGCTGCTTGAGGCTAGGGTTAACTTTGGGGGGTTTGCAGCATGTGACTGTGGGGTGGGGAGGTGGAGTGGAGCTCAAGGAATTTTCCCACTTAGGGAATTTCTTGGCTCATTTCATTTCGAGCACCTACCGTCCCTGTGCTGCTGCGATGTGGCGASTAAAAGCTGTGGTTTTCTTGTTGTGTCTGGTCCCCACCTACCAACAGTTTCCCCGTCTTTGCACGACCCCAGAAGTCCTGCGGACCAAGGAGTGCTGCCCACCTTGGGAGGGCGATGGCTCGGCTTGTGGGGCCAGGTCAGGCAGAGGTTCCTGCGAGGATGTGGTGGTCTCGGAACAGCCCGATGGACCACAGTACCCCTTCTCTGGCTTGGACGACCGGGAGAAGTGGCCCTTGGTTTTCTACAACCGGACCTGTCAGTGTGCCGGGAACTTTATGGGGTTTAACTGCGCGGACTGTAAGTTTGGCTACTTTGGGGAGAACTGTAACGAGAGAAGAGAGTCTCTGAGGAGGAACATTTTTCACCTGACCAGAGCTGAGCGAAACAGACTCGTATCTTATCTGAACCTGGCCAAGCAGACGGTCAGCAGGGACTACGTTGTAGCGACGGGGACCTACAGGGAGATGGAGAACGGCTCCAACCCCATGTTTGCTGATGCGTCCGTGTATGACGTGTTTGTGTGGCTGCATTACTATGTGTCCCGGAATGCATTGCTGGGCGGACCGGGGAACGTGTGGACCGATGTGGACTTTGGTCACTGGGCCCCTGCGTTCCCCCCCTGGCACCGCGCGTACCTGCTGCATTGGGAACATGAGATCAGAAAGCTGACCGGAGACGAAAGTTTCTCCATTCCTTACTGGGACTGGAGAGATGCCCGGGACTGTGATGTGTGCACGGATGAGCTGATGGGAGGCAGGAGCCCCGTGGACCCCTCTCTTATCAGCCCGAGTTCTGTCTTTTCCTCTTGGAAAGTAAGCATGCTTTAGTTCTGTATTGTTTCTCTTTTCCACTCTGGAACAGTACCTTGAAACTGATATATTTGATGGGTCTTTCAAATTCAATTAATGTTACTACAACTAAACACACACATACACAAAATAAATAAACAAAACAAAGGAAGATTTAGGTATTGCTTAAAAATAGTTCATAAAAACTGGTTAATATGACAGAATTTAATCTTCCTCTCATATAGTGTAGCTTTGAAGCTTCACCCTGTTGCAAATCTCGCAAATCTGTTGTTTACACCTTCAATGTTACTTGTTTTTTGGTTTAAAAAGGTCAATTTTATGCACAAACATCTGTTTTGCAAAAAATGTGAACATTAAAAAAAATATTAAGGTAAATATCTGTGGCTTAACATTACATAACATTGTAAAACCCTGCAAAAATATATCTGTCCAGTTTGCTGCCTGGATAAGTATTATTTGGAAATGCTGTTGTCTGGTTATCAACATCGTTAAACTGTAAGTCGATAAAAAATACACATATTTAAAAATTGAATATTTTATTGAATAAATTCCTCCTCAAATTGAATATATGTTATTCATATTTTACGTAGTCATTGCTTTAAAGATAAAAATGATCAAATTATAGGAAAAATAATCCTCCATTGAGATTCACGCTAGAATTTGTGATTTCCACTTTGTGCTGTCTTGACTCCAGGTTCTGTGCTCTCGGGCTGAAGAGTACAGTACCAGAGGCATTTTGTGTGATGCCAGTGACGAAGGCCCACTGCGCCGCAACCCTGGGAACCACGATCGCAATCTGGTGGAAAGATTACCAACATCAGCAGATGTGGAGTTCACGCTCAGTCTCCCGAACTACGACACCGGCGCAATGGACCGCAGCGCCAACATGAGCTTCAGGAACACTCTGGAAGGTCAGATAAACACAYAAAAATGGATCTTTGGTTTCTCTCTCTAATATGTCAGCTCATGCAGACTGCTCTAGGTTGTTAATAATTTAAGTATTATATTAGAGCTGACGTAAAAGTGGGCTATCAAACACCAATGGGAGGTGATGCTCTTTGGCTTTACCAAAGGACTCAAAAGTCCTTTGGTGTGTATAAAGACTTACCATAAAGCCATCTCTGATGTTCTCCATCTGATCTGCTGAGCTATTTTTCWTTTTTGYAGGATTCGGGGACCCGCAGACCGGRTTGGGYAACAGTCCTCGYTTGGGGATGCACGCTTCTCTTCATGTGTTCATGAATGGATCCATGTCATCAGTGCAGGGCTCTGCAAATGACCCCATATTTATGCTTCACCATGCTTTTGTGGACAGGTGAGTAACATCACATAAGTTTTGGGAACATAAAAGGGTGGAACTTTTATGAAAGGAAAGGAAAAGAAAATCTTTCTTCCTGTTTTCTGTGACAGCCTCTATGAGCAGTGGCTAAGGAGGCACAGACCATCTCCATCTCAGTATCCAGAGTCTAATGCTCCAATAGGSCACAACAGTGACTACCACATGGCACCGTTACTGCCTCTGCACAGAAACAAAGAGTACTTTATTTCCAGCAAAGAGCTTGGATATGAGTACTCCCACTTGCTTAATGCCAGTAAGTTCTCTTCAGGGAATTACTTGTTTTAAGAAAATCAACAGTATCTTTTTTATCAACTTTATTTACCCCAGAAGCCTAATGTATTAATCTAAAACAATATTATGTGTTAAGCTCAAAACCTACTTTGCTGATGTCACTTTCAGACCAAAGGCTTGCAGAATCCTTGCGTCCCTACCTGGATGACCTGCAGGGTGTGTGGCTGGGCCTGCTGCTCGCAGGACTTTGTGGAGGAGTGGTGACCGCTATTATTGCTGTTGCCGTCCTGCTTGTGAAACGTCGATCCAAAGGAACGCTGTGGCGCTCTGGCAAAAGTTGGAGAACAATGTCTGCTCTTCCAGAGACCCAGCCGCTCATCTGGAGCAACGAAACAGAAGAAAGCAATCCCCGCAGCTATCAAACAACCATGTGAAAACACATGYTGTGCAAGGATGTACCGACAGTTAACTCAGTTCATATCAATATATTTAAATAGGTATTAAACTGAGCATGTGAGACCTTCTACAGTGTTGTATTATTCAATAAATGGAGAATGAATTCTGCAAAACTTGCTGCACCAGATCCATCTAAAYCAYGTGTCAAACTCAAGGCCYGCRGGCCAGATGTGGCCTGTAGGTGACTCCCGTCTGGCCGGTCAGGGCCACCGCCAAAAAAAATAAATAAATAAAATAAAAAATACTCAAAAAAATTGCTCAATATAAAAATGTGTTCTTGTATCAATGGTAAACTTTAAATTTATGATTAAATGCAACAAAATAAACAAATTTAAAAGGTGAAAGATAATAATAATAATTGAGCTGTTGGCTTTTAAGTAACTGAGCAATTTAGTTGGATAGCACAGTATTAATGTCTCAAAATGAGCTGCTTTAAAGTCAGCATCAACCATAAACTAAATCTGCCATAATGCATGTTGATCATCCAGGGGAAATCCGTCAGAAAGTAGAATTCAAGATGGCAGGTACTTACTAGAAACTCATCATTGAGTAAAACTCTTAGTTTTACTTTTTAATAGAATTTCTGTATGATTTATTTCAAATTTTGTCAGTCGTACACTTAGTTTTTATCAGTGTTTAAAAGAGGACTACTTTCTAAAACAGAACCTTCATAGAATAAACCACTTCACCATGACTTTGCTTAAAGGAGTCAAATTGTTGTTGCTTGGTTCCTTAGTAAAGTGTCAAAGTCAATGTTTGTCTCCCTCCCTAATGACATAATGATATTATGCTTCATTATCYGATTTGTCACAGCAATCCCAAATGCTGATGTAACTCACTATTTAAAAAGTCACAYTTGGAAAAAAAATGCTTCCCTTTACAAGTAAAAGACAAAAAAAGATTATAAAGAACCCAAATATATGGTGAGACACAATGATTTAGAAATAATGCAACACGATTCAGAAATTTAAAAACAAAAACTTATTTATTGAGTGGAATAAAGAGTTTCTTTATGCTCCTCCTACAATGGTCTCAGGCCAAATTAACACAGTCTAAGCTTAGACGCATGCTGTCTAGTGTATAACACAGTATTTTGCTCAAAATACTTAGTATTTATTTGGCATTTTCAAATATTATAGTACATTCTCCAAAAAAACCAATGTTTTGACAAACAGGATTGCACAAAAGGTTAAATGTGACAGAAAAAAAGATGGAAGAAAACTTAAAAAATGTGATCAAGCTGTGAKAGTTGAAACTAATTTGAGAATTATTTTCACTTTTATTTCTACTGAAACTGTTTATTCTGAATAAATTCTCTCAAGGACAAGCATGGACTAATTGTTTGTCGCCATCATACATACATGGAAATAAATTCATTGCATGAGAAGTAGTTTGTTTGGCAGATTATTGATTTAAAAAATAAATAAAACTANAAGGATGAGGGGAAAAAGTATCACAGAGATGATTGTACAATGTTTTTTTATGTACCAAGTATAAAATAATTGGAAACGTACAGGTAGAATTATCTTTTATAATCACTGCTGTAARATGTCTACATCTGGTCTTTGACACTGTGTGGTCCCGATCTTTTGTTTTTCAGAAAACTTCAGTGCCAATTAATGAGTTCGATCTGATTAAAGTCTACAAAACTTAAGAGTTCCTTTTGTCACGAAACCAAATTAACATTTTTGTAGAACTTCACCTTTCAAGATGACAAAATAATGTCCAAGGGATGAGAAAAATGGACATTTACTGAATATTTCACTTCACTGAATCTTTAAAAAAATATGCTTTAAAAGGCAAAAAAAAAAGCTATCCCTTAGAGAAGTGATGAATCAAGAAGTAAATATAAGTGTATTTGAAATCTTAACCATTAATCTTCATCCTCACTATCAGTCTCTTCTTCCTTCTTCTCGTCCTCTTTGGGCGGAGCGGCAGGAGGGGGGAGGTCGAGGCGAGCCCAGGACATCGCCTCGGCCTTCTTCATGGCAACCTCGATCTTAGCTGCCATCATGTTGACCATGCTTTTACTCACGTCGATCACCTTCAAAGAGAAACAAAGAGAAAGTCATCACATAAAAGGTGTTTTATTTGTATAAGTCTCTAAGTTTATTTCAATCAGACAAGCAACCAAAAAACAAAGTTGATAAATTTCTTAAAATAAGTAGACAGCAGTGAAAACTGGAGCTGGAATTTAAATCACAGCTGCTAAAATTTTGAGAGTACTCTTATTGACTATTCATCATTTAAAAACCATGCATTGTATATTTAAGTGGCTAACAGTTGAAATGTTAAGCCTATTTGGATTTGAATAAAATTACACTTACACCCCACAGGCTGATATTCTGCACAAATTCCTTTTCTCCATCAAAAACAATGTAGATGCTGAGCTGAAAAAAGGAAAATAAAAGTCAAAGTTAGATTAAGAACAGTTTAGACATGAAGAAATCGTCCGGCAGATGATAGAAACTCTCACCGTGGTGCTGTTAGCATCAACGTAGCTTAGCTCAGGGATGGCATTTTTGGCGTAAATAGAAATGATGACCTGAGTCCCAGTTTGGTGCCAGTCAAACCTACAGGGGACCGCCTTCTTTCCCTGTGAAAGAGAATTCAGATAAAACCAGGGTTCAGAATCTGGCTGCTCGCTTTCTGCTGCAAAGTGACAGCATTCCCTGTGAAGCCACGAGATGGAGCTAAAGCTCCTCACATACATTTGAGTCAGAAAATGATTTCGCACCACCAGGACAACATTCCTACCTCATCCTTTTTCCTCCATAGATGTGCYCCCTTTGTACAGCCTTCCTGAGAGAGGAAGGAGTTAAAGTCGGAGGTTTTCCTCTTACAGCAGCTCCAGTATTTCATCCTGGACATGAAGGAAAAAACCTTAGCTTGATTTTCAGCAGCAAAAAAATAAATAACTAATCTGATAGGAAAACACTAATGCTGCTAYTTATTGTTTTGCAGTTTTCACAGAATACCCTCTGAAATATTTAAATAAATAAAATCTACATAAAAATGTGACACATTAAAAAACAATACCAACCCTTCGTGGAAAATGGGGACTCCAGAGTGGTAAGAGCACTCATCGGAGTCACTTGCAGGTCCCTCGAACGTCTGAAATAAACAATTATTATTATTTTCACAGACACTTTAAACTTCTTGTTTTTATTGGTTAATAAGATATTAATGTATCAAAGAACCTCGTCAATTATAACGCCTAACATGATGTAAAACGCCACCTTTTTTTAACTGGATGCTGACTGCAAAGTCTGCAAAGAGGCAGTTAACAAGAAAATGTATGGTTTTCACTAAACCTCTTCAAGCATAATTATGTAAATCAGTTCAAATCAGCTACCAAACATGCTTAAGCTAATTTTCCTCGCAATTTCTGTTTTAATCCCAATATGTCTGATCTGACAAGAGAAATCAGCTTGAGTGAAAACGTCGCTTTATATCCAATTAAATAAAAATCTGGATGRTATTTTAATGATTTTTTTAAGACTCAGCCGAGATCCTTAACATTTATTTTCACACTTCGTGCTCTTTTTTGAAAGACTTGTTAACATTAAGATAAACCCAATGAATTCAACTTTAAAGCTGCATTTTCTAAAAGAAGCAGATGAAAAAACAAATACATTTTTGCATGACATATGGCCACTTACTTTAGTACATCCTCCATTTTTACAGGAAGTTCCTATTTTGATTTCATCGCCATCTTCTTCTAAAAGTGAAAATAAATAAATAAATAAATAAATCCATGATGAGAATTAAAAATGCATTGTGCTGTCCTCCTCCTGTCATCTTTATCTCAAATATCCTGATGTGAATGACAGAGATGATGGAAAAATCCCAGTGGTCGTCCATTAAGCTCTACTGTCAACATGACCTTCATGCCTACTACGACAAGCATTGAGTGATTGAAAGGTGACTGGAAAAGTGAAAAGATGTTAAAGATGATAAACAGCAAAAGCTTTGTTCCCACCTTTTTGGTCCATTTTATTTTCGGAGAGTCTCAGTTTCTCCAGCGCTTGCTTTAGAGAGGCAGAGACTTTATGATTCAGCCTCACCACCGGCTCATCAGAACTGGAAGAGTAACAACGATAACGAAATTAAAATGTAACTAGAGAAACTGCTTTTCTTGCGAAAATGCAAAAATTAAAAATAAAAAGCTGAAATCAGCTGTAAAGTAGCTGAAAAGTAGCTGCAAAAGCAGAAAACTGCTGAAATGAACACAAAGAAGGTGAAATTAGCTAAAAAGCTAAACAAAAAGTCTGATATTAGCAGAAAAAAGCTAAAGAAAGCTAAATGAGAATTAAGAAGTTGCAAACATCACAAAAGTTTTGAAGGAAACTATTCATTTTCACTGAGAAATGACTGAAAAAGCTAAATAAATAAAGTATATATAATTACTCAAATACAAAAAGTCATAGCTGAAATGTCCTGAAAGAGATGAACGTTTTGATATATGAATAGTGTGAATGTTTTATAAACATTCACACAATAATAAAAAGGACAACATACCAGTTCTTTATTTGTTAAAATATTACAAAAGTGATTATTCAAAGACATATTTAGGTAAAACAGCTTTCTATTTTCAAAAGTAGTTCTACTGAAAATAACATGTTTTATGAAGATATGTTCAATTAAACAGTTCTGCTAACTTTTCTCAATGACAAAAAAAAAAAGGCTAAATAAATGGTGACAAAACTAACCTCGGTCTGAATATCGCCTCCTGAGGTTTTGGTGCAGATATTATGTACTCATTAAACTTTGGTTTTTGTGCTTCCAGCTCTTTTTTTTCTCCCGATGTTGTGACATCTGGTTTCACCGGCTCAGGGGGCTTCTCTTTGTTGTGAGGACCTTTTGTACAACCCTGAGAGAGAAAAAAAAAAAAAAGTTACTGTGTTGGACTCAGAAAACAATATGTTAGGGCCACAGAAGTGTTGGCAATCAATACCTACGAAACAGCAGACAATGGAAAGTGCAGAGTGAAAGTGCAGAAAGTAGGTGATTAAAACAGAAAAAAAAAACTTACAGCAATGCTAAGGAAGTCTGAGAAGTCAGTAGTTCTTCTCTTGCAGCAGGACCATCCCTAATAAAAATAGAGTGCAGAAACTTTACTTTTTTAACATTTTTGAACAGAGTACGAGCTATGCGCACATTTTCCAGCATTTTCACCTTCAAAGCATCATGGAACACCGGGACTCCAGGGTGAAAGGTGCAACCATCTATAAAAGACAAAAAAACACATCTTAGATCAAATTGGAGAAAAAAAAATGGGAGTCAGGATTTAAAACATTTATAAAGATTTACTAAAAATAAATAAATGAAAAACTCATTCAGGGAATTGATAAGACTTTTTGAAATCTGTTCCACATTTTGCTGCAAGTCAGTCAAATAAGGTCATAATAACTGCAGTGATTCTGAACCACCAGCAAATGAGAAATCATCAGAATGTGAAAGTCTAAAAGGACGAAACTAAATTTTAAAGAATTTATAGAAAATGTTTTAAGCCATCATCAATGCTTTCTCTTCATTTGGGTCTGCTATATATCATACTGTGTTCAGGAAAGGATCAAGGATATATTTTGTAAGACTTTCYACAGTGAACAAACAGACCATTCCATAAAAATACAAGAATCGAAGTGCACCATTCTAGATATTCCTTGCAAAAATGTTTAAGTAATTAGTTGGAAAAAATACATTAAAAAATCAGTTATGTNAGTAATTAGTTGGAAAAAATACATTAAAAAATCAGTTATGTTTTTACAATTTTTTACTGAGAAAACTGCACAAAAATTTTAGTTTTTTTTTCCTACTGTGAAGACTAAGTGAACAAGAGGTGCAAACRCAGAACACCAACAACAACAAAACTGGTTTGCAAAATAGCTATGTTAGTGTGGACAGATAATACATTAAAATAGCCACAGAGGAAATCTACTCTTCTATTTTGTTAGCATTACATATACCATACCTGGGATTTCCCTACAGTAAAATGCTCTGCACAATTTTATGTACTCCTATAAGACATAACGTGACCACAAACCAATGAAATAAATAAAAAAAAGGTTGGAAGACATCACAGGTCATAAATCACTTTCCTTGCAGAACAGCCCAAGCTCTGCCTTTTCCGTGCTACTGCCATAGATACACCACTTAGATATCCCTAAAGGTAATTATAATATACTCTACTGTTATGATAAAGCGCCATCCTATTAAAATGGAAATTAGACCTGGCTCCTGCTTTGAGTGTCTGGCACTACACAGTATTAGATTACTTGAAGACAGAGAAAGACAATTCTAAATAAAGGAAATTGAGGACTTACTGAGGGTCTGTTGTGGGAGCTGTAGACAGCATCTCAACCTTGACAGTTCAATTACATTTCAACCCATAGTTTAACGTAAACAAAAGCATAAACAAACTTACTTTAAAAAAAAATATTAAATAAGGAAATTTGAGGTTTCAGGACAAAAACTGTTGAGAATTACTGTCTACATTCACAAACTTAAGAGCGACTTTGTCTCTTGTGCCTTTCAAATGAGACGAAAATGTTTTTCATTACAAATCAATATTTCCCTTAAAAACATGATTTGCACAATATATTTTTAAGGAAAACTCTGTTTAGCTTAATATTAACCACTCACTATTAACATCATGTTTAATAATGTTTTAAAATTAAGCAWTACACACTGAAAAGTACATATTGTCGTTACCTAAAACATTTTAATACAGGATATCCCAGCGGTGACAATGATGCTGTTCAAGGTCATAAGCCTGCATAGTTGGGATTGTTTTGTTTCTGATAATGTGAGACTGTGTTTATAAAAGAGTTGTTTTCTTTCTCATCAGTAGAGCAGCTGAAAATGTAAGCAGGCAAGCAGAGCAAGAACTACAACACTSGATTTTCTGTGATTCTGCCTGTTCTTCATATTTGCAAGTAATGAATAATACTGAAGTTTTTGTTGGATATCTTTGTGAACATGTTTTTCCCACTTCATATACTTTAAAAAAATGTTTATAAAAATATGAAAATTAAATATACAAATGAGATTAAAAAAATACATCTTGTAGTATTTGAAAGTCAGTCTCCCAATATGAATTCTTGTACACAATTTAAACCTTATTTTTGAGAATCATGTTCAGTGCAAACAAACCACGCCAGCGCCAGCTACTCTTTCTGATTGTTGTCTGAGCTTCATAGCCTGCTCTTACTTTCACAGATTTTGGTTTAACCACTGACAAAAAAACAGTATAGATTAAATTTAAAATCTCCTTTGCCGTCAGCCCTTTGGCTGTACAAACAGGATGGGCCAAATCTCATATCCAGAGTGACAACTACCTAAAAACTGTTGCAGAACATATTTGAAAAAAGGTGACATTTTAACAGTTATTGGTAACACGGTCAGACTTCAGTAAATGTGAATCACGTGGCAGCAACAATCCAGCTAGTTCATTGAATCCTGATTGCAATTTCAGCAGTAYGGACAGCTTCATCAGTGAGCATGAACAGGATGCATTGTTGCCATGCTGGAAGTCCAACAAAGCAGGAGAACTACTTGAAGGCAACGTTTCTTTGCATTAATCATTTATTTATTTAYTTATTTATTGAGGCAATGATACTAGCACATAATGAGGTTATAGACTGACCCTACAAAGATGTGCATGTGATAAAATGACACCACAACCCAAATCATCGTCAATCTCATAACTTGAAATTGTATAACATCTGGTTTTAAATCCAAGCTTTGTTGTTTCTCCAATCACAAGTGAAGATCTTAGGACACGCAGAAGTCTTCAATCCTGTAATTATTAAGTCTCTGGTTGGGTGCAAACACTTTAGTTAGTTGATGCCACCGACCTTGCTTAGCTGGGCTGTGAGAGGTCGAGCCGCTAAAGCCTTTTCTTTGCCTACATCCCCCAGAATGCCATGCGGTTCTGGACTGGAGTTCAAWGAAATGATCGACATTCTATTAGAAAAAAAATCCATTCATGTTGATCATATGTCCATCACARTATGTGTTGTTATTGATTTCTATTGATATTGATCACTTGCCTATCGTAATATATTGTTATTGAATTGTTGCCCCTCCCTTCTTTAGTCAGGTAAAACACTGACTGATCTATGTGATTTCTCTATAACTCATCTGCTGGAGCTGATCTTCCAACTTGGCAGTTGTTCACACACAGGATGTGACATCTTCACTGAACGGCCCATGTGCTGGATTTCAGGACACAACAGGRCCTTCATTACTTGACTTTAATTTTTCAACATCTTATTTTGCTTGTATATTTAACTTAAAAGTTTAAATATTTCTAGAACCACTGTGTATTTCAGCAATGAAAAGGTGATACACTCCTGATCAAAACCTTAAGACCAGCCAAAAAAGTGCAAGAATTTGCATTTTGCACTATTGGATCTTAAGAAGGTTCTAAGTAGAGCTTCACAATGTTAAAAGTAGAAATCAGTGCAAGAGACAAGAACTTTTGAGCAGGGAATTGTCTGAAAACTGCATTTACACTCAAACATGATTTTTTCAGCTGATCAAAAGTTTAAGACCATAGCTAAAAAAAACCTGAAACCCCCCCAAAAAACAGAAATCAAAGTGTCAAAAAAAGGACTCAGTAATGAGTAGCTCCACCATTCTTGTTGATGACTTCAAACAATGGTTTAGGCTTGATGCCAGTGTTTCCAGGAGGCTAGTGGGAACGTTGCTCCAAGTGTTGAAGATGGCTTCACGAAGGVCATCCACTGTCTGGAACTGATGTCCATTTTTGTAAACTTCCCTTGCCATCCATCCCCAAATGTTCTCAGTTGGGTTTAGATCCAGGGAACATGCAGGATGGGCCAAAAGAGTGATTTATTCTCTTGGAAGAACTCCTTTGTCAGGCGGGCATTGTGAACTGCAGCATTGTCCTGTTGAAAAACCCAATCATTACCACACAGACGAGGGCCCTCAGTCATGAGGGATGCCCGCTGCAACATCTCCACATAGCCAGCTGCTGTTTCCCCTGCACAACCTGAAGCTCCATTGTTCCATTGAAGGAAAACACACCCCAAATCATGATGGCGCCCCACCACTGTGCCGTGTAGAAAACATCTCAGGTGGGATCTCCTTGTCATGCCAGTAACATTGGAAGCCATCAGGACCATCAAGGTTAATTTTTTTTTCTCATCAGAGAAGACAACTTTCTTCCACCTTTCAATGTCCCATGTTTGGTGCACCATTGCAAAGTCCGAACGGGCAATTCTGTGGCGTTCAAGAAGACACGGCCTTTGAAGACGTTTTTTGTTTCCGAAGCCCTTCTCTCACAGATGCCGTCTGATGGTTATTAGGCTGCAGTCAGCACCAGTAATGGCCTTAATTTGGGTAGAGGATCATCCCGTGTCTTGACGGACAGCCAATCGGATCCTGTAGCTCAGAGCTGGTCAATTTTTCTATGGGTCTACCACTTGACTTTTTTTGTTCCATAACCCTCAGGATCATTWAAAAAATGCAAAATGACTGTCTTACTGCGTCCAACTTCAGCAGCGATGGCACGTTGTGAGAGGCCTTGCTTATGCAGCTCAACAATCCTACCACGTTCAAAGTCGGTGAGCTTTTTTCCTTTTGCCATCAGGAGGTCTTGACAGTGTAAAGACTTGACAGAAAGTGACATGGTCCAGATTTTTGCACAGCTTTTGGCTTTTAAAGAYTATGGTCTTAAACTTTTGATCAGCTGAAAACATCATGTTTGAGTGTAAATGCAGTTTTCAGAAAATTCCCTGCTCAAAAGTTCTTGTCTCTTGCACTGATTTCTTCTTTTAACATTGTGAAGCTCTACTTAGAACCTTCTTAAGATCCAATAGYGCAAAATGCAAATTCTTGCACTTTTTTGACTGGTCTTAAGATTTTGATCAGGAGTGTATGTCATGTTATGGAACTCATGAATACCTAAAACAACACTTGGCATTTTTTCTCTAAGCTTTCAAAGATGTTTCACCTCTAAACCCAAAAACCTCTCCAGCTGATAAGGAGTTAAATAAMTTTTATATGTTGCCACTTAAGAGTATGACTTTCTATGTAGTTTAAAAGGCTTTGAGACTCACTTTCTTTAAAAACAGTACTATTTGAAAATATTAGTTGAGTAATATTATAAGGATGTAAATGTCAAAACTGAACCACACACATTGAACTTTTTGATAGTTCGAGTTAGTAGAAAAATCACTAATTACGTCACTGTTTACCTATTAGTGTTAGCAAAACAAAAGTGTAGCAACATTGTGCTGATTTTAGACAAAGGTAATAGTAGTCCATGTGTAATATGATCACAGTGTTCATTAAACTTTCAGTCTTGTCCAGAAAGTTCCATTAGGAACAATGCTAACCTGCTAACAAAGTAGCGTTAAGACACAAAACGCTAACGCATTTTAAACTACAGGTTATAAGGCTTAGCGGTGTTAAATAATCAAGTCAGAACAATGTTTGAATCAGACAGCTAACACCAGGTTAGCTGCCTGAGTCAAAAGGCCCGCACGCTGTAGAAATTTCCAGATGATCAGAGGTTAGCTTGCTAATATTCCAGCAAAGCACACATTTAGTTAACTAAAACACAAACTCACCGTCCGGATTGTTTTCTGGGTCAAACCGCTCTCCGCATCCCTTGTTATAACACAAAACAGACATGGTGATGAACGTGGAAAGTTTAACAGGATAACTTGACTCCTAACTGTGAGAGACACAGGGCTGGAGATGAAGCCGTGTGAAAGCTACTGCTTGAAAGCCGCTCGCACACTTCCGGGTTTCTTCGTCGGTCGGCTGCACTCGGCAATGATCGGAGCTTTTTGCCTCCGCCCCCTTCCAGTGAGCATGGTCCCACAGTCAAGTGATGCTGGCCGCTTCTAAACTTACCTTCCTCACAGCAGCACGTTTGTGACGGACCTTAACCTTGCAGCAAACGTAGTAAAACTGCTGTGAGGTCATTTCTGTGTTGACTTCTGTAATTAGCCTTTTTATAGTTGCATAAAACTGGGATAATATCTCTTTAGTTTTTACAAGGATGCATGCAGTCTATTTGTCAACTGCTTGTCAGGACATTTAGACGATTTATTTTTCTGACGCGCTCGCTTTTTTCCACTAAAAAAAACTGCCTTAAAAGAATGGGAAAGGATTTACTTTCACCGAAGACATCTGTTCCGTCTAAAGGTAGGATACTTTGCAATGTGTGTTATTACATCCACAGAGACAGTACCGCTTGAAACTGAAATAAACTCACGGGTTTTGCACGAATGCGAGCTCCATCTGAGCCGCATCAGGCATGAGGGCTGATGATGACGATGATGATGATGMTGAGTGCACCGCTAGGATCCACCGGGACAGCTGAACTGTGACGGTTCATTTGGTGCTGATGATGATCGATGTCAGCGCAACTATGACTTCAAAATGCAGAGCGCTCCGCTCCCGATGTTAGTTTCTGTCTTGAAATATGCTCCTTTATTGTATGCAAATTTCTGAATGCAAAGTTTAAAACGTATGTTTGATATCCTCTCATCGCATTATATTGTGTAATTTTCTTATATTTGTTCAGTTTAAGCATATTTTAATTGCTTTAAATTGAAACGATGAAGATGCATTCTCTGAAAAAGTAAAAGCTTTTCCAAAAAGTGTTATTTTATAACTGTTTTATTTGATAAGTAAAAGCAATAACTTATTAATATTGTAGGCTATTTGTTTTTATATTAGTTAACTAAAACACATTTTCAAAACATTAGAATTCTGGAAGTCTTTCACAAAAGAGTTTAGCACGTCGTTTGTTTCTGTTGCTCTTTTTCTCTGAGACAAAACCGAAGAATAAAGTGTTTGAATCTGAAGCAGATGTATCACTATGATTTTTATAACCCTTAGGGCTGTTGTGTATTTCTAACATGTATTAATAACTTTTGTCCCAGGGTTGTCTTTCAAATTCTTTGAGCATGTATCTTTAACGTCTGATGAACTGAATCCACATCTCTCTTTGTCATTTTCCCCCTTTCAAATAGGATGACTGGGTGATGGAATATTGATGAAGCCTATCTGTGGGGAAATATGCTTCTTCTACCTAGTTTTTCTCCTTTTTTAAACGTTTTCTTAAACGTCTTCCTTCATTTTCCTATAACCCTTGCCCAGTTCCTGCCCACACCGAGGGCAGGGCGAGCCTTGCTGCTCTTCACCCAGCCGGTGTATAATGCCTCAATCTTTGAGAACTCTGCTGCACGAACCTATATCAGAAGTGAGGCCAAGATGGGTGTCACCCTTGCGCCATCTTGGCCTTTAGATGTGAAATATTCGATTGAGTCTGGAGACAGTGAAGGCATCTTCCAAGCAGAGGAATTTGAAATGGGAGATTTTTGTTTCCTCCGCATATGTATAAATGGAGGTAGTGGTGCTACACTGAATCGAGAGGTACAGGACAATTACACCCTGACAGTTAAGGCATCTGCCCACGAAGGCCTTGAAGCTTTAGCCACTATTTATATCAAGGTCTTGGATACTAATGACCTCCGACCTTTATTTTCCCCAACCTTCTATTCGTTTGTTGTTTCTGAAAGTGCTCCCCTGGGCACCAGCATAGGACGTGTTACAGCCACAGATGCGGACATTGGCTCCAACGGAGAGTTCTACTACTTCTTCAAGAACAGGATAGAACTCTTTGCTGTTCATCCAACCAGTGGTGTGATAACCCTTACTGGCCAAGCCAGGATTGACAAAAAAGAAAGATTTGAGCTGGAGGTGCAGGTTGTCGACAGAGGGATGAAACTTTATGGGAATAATGGTATCAGCAGCACTGCCAGGCTGGTCTTAACTGTGGAGCGGGTTAATGAGTTTGCTCCTGTTCTCACTGCTGTTGCTGTTGTTCCATCATGGACAGACAAAGACAGAGTGTACGCTATAGTGACTGTTGAGGATAAAGACGAGGGGCTATCTGGGGATATMGAGTGGTTGGCCATTATTGAGGGTGACCCTTATGAACAGTTTGTGATTGAGAGATCAGCTCTTGGGAATGAGTATAGAGTTAAAACACTAGAAGAGATCAACTTGGATATGTACCCTGATGGCTGCAACTTAACCTTCCAGGCCAAAGACAGAGGTGTACCTCCCAAGTTTTCTAACACCCAAGTTGTTCAGCTGGTGGTTACAAAGCGAGACTCAGTGCTGGCAAAATTTGAAAAAGATGTTTATTTAGTCAAGCTGAGTGAAATAGCTCCCCCAGGCACAATTGTAGAAATGGTAAAAATATCCCCAGCTCCTCTGAGTGTCAATTACAGCTTCAGCAGTCTCTCAGATCCAATGTACTTTGATATAAACCCTATGACTGGGGTTATTATGACCACAAGGCAGCTGACAAAGAAATCACAGGATTTAATGGAGCTAGAGGTAGTTGATCGCATCAGCTGGCAGCGAGCAAGAGTTCAAATAACTATAGAAGATGCAAATGACAACTCTCCAATGTTCAGCAAGCCGTCCTATCAAATTGCAATCAACGAGAGCTTACCCATAGGTACTGTTGTTCTTGTAGTGTCTGCTGTGGATGTTGATAAAGGGGAGAATGGGTTTGTAACTCACACAATAAATGGTGAGAAGTCTCTTCCATTTAGCATAGATCAGAACACTGGTGAGCTGAGCATAACAAGAGATCTAGACTTTGAATCATCAGAGGATGTCTATATGTTTGCGGTACGGGCCTCGGACTGGGGTTCACCCTACAGAAGGGAGAGTGAAGTTAATATTACCATTCGTGTGATAAACATCAACGACAATCGCCCTGTTTTTGAGAAGGTTTCTTGCAGAGGCATGATAAGCCGTGATTTTCCCATCAACAAGACCATTGTTACCTTGTCTGCTATAGACATGGATGAGCTGGGAATGGTGCGGTACAAGATACTGTCTGGGAACGAGCTAGACAACTTTAACCTAAATCCAGATTCAGGAGCTTTAGCTTTAAAAAGATCTTTTGAAGCAGAGAGTTTAAAAAGTGGGATATTCAACCTGAAGGTAGTTGCATCAGACGGAGAGCTGTTCTCCGATCCTATATTTGTGAACGTATCAGTGGTAAGAAGCAGGATACCACCCAGTGGGTTAACCTGCAAGGAAACCAGGGTAGCCCAGTTGTTGGCAGAGAGGATGGTCTCAAAAGCATCAGCAATGGCAAGGCCAAAATCARCTGACAGATACATTGATCTTTTCTCAACAAACAAACAAGCTCCACAGTTTGAGGCTTTGCCTACGAGCATTCTTGTGAGAGAAGACTTGAGTGCTGGAGCCAGTGTGTTTCAAGTGCGAGCACGTGATGGTGACATAGGTTTCAATGGCCACATTCTCTTTTCCATTTATGATGGAAACAAAGAAAACAGCTTCAACATTGACATGGAAAGTGGACTAATAACAGTTCTGCAGCCACTTGACCGTGAGCGAGTGGATCGTTACTTCCTTAATATCACCATCTACGATCAGGGCATCCCTCAAATGTCAAACTGGAGGCTTTTGACAGTGATTATAGAGGATGCTAATGACAACAACCCCCAGTTTTATCAGGATAACTACTCTGTTGTTGTTTCGGAAGAAGCAAACATTGGAATGRAAGTTATTACGATCACTGCCTTTGACAAAGACATGGGCCAGAATGGACAGCTCTATTTTAGAATGCTCTCCAGMATCCCTCAGTTTGGTATCGACAGTGAAACTGGAACTGTATTTGTTGCCAGCCAGCTGGACAGAGAAACGATCCCAGTGTTCTCATTGATGATTGAAGTGAGAGACAAGGCTGAAAAAGGCACTCGACGGTCATCAGTCACTACTCTAAATATTATTCTGGACGACGTCAACGATTGTGCTCCAGTTTTCATGCCTAGCAGCTATAATACACGAGTACCAGAGGACCTGCCACCAGGAACTGTGATCACATGGATTCAGGCTCAGGATCCTGACGTTGGACCTGGTGGACAAGTCCGATACTTCTTGTTCAACGACTTCAATAGCACTTTTGAGGTAAGTCATGTACAAGCTAATTCATAGGGTTTCATTAAACCTAACATATCCCAAATTGTTATGCCAACTATTACTATTTCTTACTATTTCTTAATAATGTCAGGAACTTACAAATCACATTATGTCAGGGCTATTCAAGTAAATTGCTCCGGGGGCCACAGTTACTGGTCAACAGCTGAGGGGCCAAACATCCAGCAATTAAAGTTATGTAAATAAACCAAGTATTACAAATATCTGTTACCTTTGAATTAGTTTA